GATACCCCCCCGTTCCTCCCGGGGCCCCCCACCCCATGTCCACACACACCTCTGGCTGCCCACCTGGCCGGGGAAGGGTGAGTGGGATTTCTGGAAGACTGGTTAGAGGCAGCACAGGCCCCGCTCTGTGAGAGGTTAGAGGCAAGCAAGTGCCGTCGTTAAAGACACAGGCTTCGTGGGCTTCAGTTTTAAAAGTTTTAATTACACCCACTGCAAAGGTAGAAAAAAAAACCACCAAATGACAGCAGTCATAAAAAAAACTTAGGATTCAAATCCCAGCGCTGCCCCTTACTTGCTGTGTGACCCTGAGCAAGCGGTTTAACCTCTCTGTGTCTCGGTTTCCTCTTTCTGGAGTCCGTTGTGAAGGTGTAACGAGCTCATCTCGCAGAGAAGGTGCTCCCTAAGGCATTTCCTGGGTTCACACATACGTGCGTCCATCCTCCATTTGGCAGACTTTGCTGAGGGCCCGCCTCCTGTGCTCAGGATGTGAGGCACCAGGGACCTGGCAGTGAGTAACGCGGACGAAATTCCACCCGCATGAAGCTGACATGCTGGCGGGAGAGCCGGTCGGCAGAGAAGCTGTGAACGGTGAAATAGACTGTTTGTTGACGGTGACAAGTGCTATGGAGAAAAACAGGGGCGGCACTGGAATGCACGGGAGGGGGAAGCCAGCCAAAAGGCCTCTTTCTGGAGGCCCGGCCTCCCGGCAGGAGAACAGTAAGAGCAAAGGCCCTGAGGTGGCAGAAGGCCTGGGGCTGGAGGGAGGGAGGGGGATGGGAGAGGGAAGAGGCAGAGGTAAGGCACCTGAGGGCCAAAGTGAGGGCTTTGGCCTTTCCTGGGAGTGAGATTAGAGCCACGTGTGCATATACATACACATGTTTATTTTCTCTAATCCAAAAAGATAGTCACAGCATCACGCTGGGGGCAGTAAAGGCACCCAGATGGGTGTGTTGATCACATGGCACGTGTGCCTCAGATCTAATCTTTTCACGTTTTTTAAATGGGGGGAAAAAATCAATTCATATAAAGTGTGTGTGAAATTGACTGTTTGGAAGCGAAAAGGAGCAAGGAGGATCAAACCCCTGCCCACCAGGGTTCCACCCATCCCGGCTCGAGAGACATCCATGAGGCGCTGCCCGGTCACTAATGGGGCCCAGATGTGCCCAGAGGTGGCCCTGGCCCCAGACCTGCCTGCCCGGACACTTGCATGGCGAGCAGCTTTACAGCCAATTTATTTTCTGGGCTCGCTTTAAAGAAAAGCCCAGGGGAGGATCCCCTGTCTCCGCCCCTCCCCCCCCATCCCGACCCTGTGGCTCCCCGTCCCACTTCTCCCACCCGCTCAGCCCTGAGGAGGACAGAGGGAAAGCTCAGAGGAGTAGAAAGCCAACCAGTGCAAACAGAAAGTCGCCATTTGGCAGCCACCACAGCAATAACTGGCTTAGGCAAAAATCACCAGTGAGGGCTAAAACTGGTGGTGGAGGTTGGAGGAATAATGGGGACATTCACATGGTCTCAGAATGTCTCCCCACAAGATACAGGTTAAGCACAAACGGGGGGAAAAGAGGAACGTTACTCAGGCAAAACCTGGCATGCACCACTTTAACCAAGTGGTCCGCGTTGGCCTCAGCAGTGATGTCCAAACTGACCTCCTGTGCCTCTGACACCTTGCACTAAGGATCCGGCCCCAGGTGCACAGCCCAAACTCACAGCAATCTCGAGGAAGCACTGGGAAAGTCCAGTTTGGGGGACACCCTACACACGGCTGGCCTGAAATCTTAAAAAATGTTCAAGTCACAAAGACCGAGAAAAGCCCTGGCTGGTTTGGCTCAGTGGATAGAGCGTCGGCCTGCAGACTGAAGAGTCCTGGGCACAAGCCCAGTTGCAGGAGGCAGCTGATCCATGAATCTTTCTCATCACTGATGTTTCTCTCTCTCCCTCCCTCTCCTTTCCTCTCTGAAATCAATAAAAATGTATGAAGAAGAAGAAGAACCAAAAAAAAGAGTAGCTGTCTCTCCCCACGCCACCCTCCAAAGGGCTGTGGAGGCATCCCTGGGGCAGCTGGAAAAACTTACCATAATCCATGATTATGGATTAGACATAGCATCGCACCAATGCTAAATTTTCTGATTTTGATTATTGACTATGGTTATATGAATGTCCTTGTCCTTAAGGAATACATGCTGCCTGCCCAGCATGGCTCAGTGATTGAGCATCAACTTATAAACCAGGATGTCACTATTTGATTACCAGTCAGGGCACAGGTCTGGATTGCAGGCTCCATCCCCAGTGTGGGGCATGCAGAAAGCAGCTGATCAATGATTCTCTCTCATTGATGTTTCTTTTTTTCTCTCTCTCTCCGAAATCAATAATATATATATATATATATATATATATATATATATATATATATATATATATATTAAAAGCCCCAGTGTCTGCCCTCTTGGCTGCACTATGACCCCAACCCCACAGGCTCTGCAGGCTCTGGCAGGCCGGCCAGTCCCACCTGCCTCCCCAGCCCCCAGGCCCTAGTCTTTCTTGGGGTGGGTGGGGGCGGCTCTTCTCCCAGCCTCAGCCTTTGCCCTTGCTGCACCCTCCCCGGACTGGAACTTTCTCCTCCTTCAGGTTTCCACTGGAATGTCAGCCCTTCTCCAGCTCCCTCTCCAGCTCCGGGCCTGCCTTATCTGCGAGAGCCCCACCCACGCTCTCCAGCACGTGCTCACTTTAATTCCAGCTTGGCACCGTCACCGTAGGAAAGCGGCTTGTTTATTTAATCACTTGTTTGTTTTCTGTCTCCCAGCTAGAACCCAAGTTCCGTGAGTGCAGGGACTGTCCATCTGTCCGAGGCTGCACCCCCGGGGCCCAGGACAGGACCTAGTACACACACAGCTCATTAAACCCGAGGGAGGCACCACCATCACCCCATGTTATAGAAGCAGAAACTGAGGGTCCTTGCTCCAGGCACCCCTAGCCCCCGGGACAGACCCAGCCTTACATGCCAGCCGGGTTTTCTACCAGGCCCAGCCCGTGGAGTGAAATCATGAATTCATTCTCCTTCCATGTCAGCACCTACTGTGTGGTGGCTGTGAGTGGCAGCCTGGGGTCCCGGGACACAGTAGGCCTTCAGCAAATGGATGCCCACCCCTGCAGGGCCCCCAACTCTCTAACTTCCCCCCCAACTCTCTAACTTCCCTTCAGGGAGGCCGGCTACAATTTGGCGATTGTTAGAGAACTTTTTTTTTTTTTTCTTTTGGGAGGAAAGCTGCAAGTCATTAAGGGCTGCTCCCGGCCTGCGGGTCACCATTTCCTGTTTAGAAGAAAGAATCATCTCTCCTTTGGAACATGAAGCTGCCCCCACCCCCAGCCTGACTCCAGGGCTCCGCGCTCCGGGCCGCCTGCACGCCTGCTCAGCTCCCCGCAGGAAACTGGCACCTTCAGCACCTTTTGTGCTCAGAAGGGACACTCATTTTCTCCTGGCCCCAGGAGGGCCCCGAGGTGAGGTCACCAGCACCGCCTGCCAGCCAGGAGTGAATTATCCCAGCCCAGGAGGCAAGCTGACTGTCTTCCCGTCCTGTCCCGGAGCAGGAAGCTGGATGACCCCTACCCTCCGGCCCGGCTTCTCACCCTCCCGGCTCCAGCCAGACAATTTCCTCGCATCAAAGGCCATTTGGTACCCAGCGGCCAGACAAGAGGTGTGGGTCCAACTGGGAGGCCGGCAGGGCCCAGAGCCCTTGGAAACAGGAAGGACATCCTCTGTCCCCTTCTTGCTCGTGGCATTCCACTCGTCAGCTGGGAGCTGCCGCCAGGCCCTCTCCCAAAGGCCTGCCGCTTGGGCACAGCCCCTAGCCTGTCGAGTTGATAAGACCCAGGGAGCCAGCTTCGCAGCCTGTGGGCCTGGTCAGTTTCAAAACGGTCAACAGAGTAAGCGCCACATGTAGAGTGCAGGAGTCCCCTCTCCCCCCACCCCCCCACCCCCGACACTGTAACAAACCCCAACCCCCACCTCCACGCCCAGCCACAGGTGCTTCCCCACCTCATCACAGGACACAGGCTCACAGGAAGGCCCGTTTGCACAAACAAGGTCCCTGTCAAACCCAGGAGCCAGTCACATGACGGGAGAGAGGACAAGAGTTAAGGCTGCGTCAGTTCTCTGAGCTCCACCCTCCCCGCCTCCCTAAAGGGCCTGTGAAATACCCACTCCCCTAGAACACCAAGACTTTCTTACGTATAAATTAACCGCTTTATTGAATATCAATAAACTGTACGTAATAACTATACAAAATGTTTTCTTAGTACAAAATGTTGCTTGCAATATAAATACCAGTGTACCTTTAAAAAAAATGTAAACATCTTCCTCCTGGGCCCACCTGTTGGGTCCCTGAAAATAGTTCCGGGAGACACATTGGTTGGGCCGAACGAAGCACCCTATTTGGGCCCCCGACAAGTGAAGGCAATTACTCACATTCCCTTTTGAGACGCTGTTAAATTGCCCGTGAAACAGGTGCCACCATGACAAACAGGAGGGTGAAATAGCTGCCCGGGCCTGGGGCATCCTGGGGGTCTAGACACGTCATCCTTGTGTCAGAGCCCGCCCCGGGGGTGGAAGGCTAGTTACTCACACCTCCTGGAGAGGTGGCCTGAGGGTTCTGGGGTGGGGAGGAGTGGGGTCCCCTGAGTGGGGTGGGAGCCTCTATCAGTCTGTTGGCTTTTGTCCTGTAGCTCAAAGCAGCTGTATCCAAACAGTTTAGGATACACAAGCCCACACACGCACATCAAGGCCAGCTCCAGAACGTCGCTGGGGAGCGGTGGCTGCCAGAAGGGGCCACCCTCCCATCAGCGTCCACGGAGCCAACGGAGGCCCCGAGCAGACACACTGGAAAATGGTCCTCGCGGCCGGAAGGGAGCGCAGAGGGGAATTCCGCCGCAGCAGGGAGGAGGAGGCAGGGTCCTTCCTTCCAGAGGTGGGGGAGGCCCTGGGGAAGCGGAGGGAGCCGCAGGGGTCAGCGGGGGCCCCCGGAGCAGCCGGACTCCTGGTGCTTGTGGAGCAGGGACATGCGGGAGAAGGTGCGGGAGCACGTCTTGCACTGGTACTTCTTGACGTCGGAGTGGGTCTGGAGGTGGGCCCGCAGGTTGGAGCGGTCGGCAAAGGCCCGGCTGCAGTGGGAGCAGGAGAAGGGCTTCTCCCCTGGGGAGAGAGAGCAGGAGGCAGTCAGGGACTGAGCGGTCTCTGGGACAACAGCTGGCATTTATCAAGATCCTTCCCCACCCACCCCCGCCTTCAGAGCCCTGCCCACCCCAACACTGAAGGAGTCCTATGACCCAGAAAAACCAGGCCATCCCTGTCTGCAGGCCTGGTTTTGACTGGGAACTCTGCTGCTTCCCACCCTATGACCTGGAGCAAGCCCTCTGGCTCCTCTGGGCCTCCGCTGGCTCACATGGGAAACGTGTGTCCACCCCCCACTCACAGGGGGCTGGCTGGTGCCAGCGAATGTAGGATAGCGTGGTCACCCACTCAGTGCTGGCAGCAAGTGCTCAGCGGACAATGACGACAACTGCGTTCGCTGGACACTGTGAGCCAGGGACCGTGTGAAAACACATCACTTCATCCGTCCTTCCTCCGTTCAGAGGATGAAACTGAGGCCCAGAGAAGCTAAGTAGCACATGCAGGGTCAGCCAGCAGGAACCGGGCCGCCTGACTGAGTGCCTGGTGTTGACCACTCCACTGACTGCCTCTCGGTTAAGGAGGCTGTGGTGGGCGTTCCTTGTTCTGTCTCCTGAATTTGCTTCTTCTGGGGATAGAGCAAGAAGTCTCAGCCAGAAAGGCTCCCTTAGCCTCAGCCCACCCCGGCAGATTCGGCCACGGCTCCTCACACTCAAGAGTAATTTCAAGTCTTCTTGTCTGCCCCGCCCAGGAGGCTACGGAACGCTTGTCCCTCAGGATTTAAAACCCTCCCCACCTGTGAGCCTCACGCCACCTGCCTGGATGAGCTTGTTTTGGGAAGTCTTATACTCTAGGTACACAGGAAGTGTTCAGTAAGCACTTGGACAATGAATAAACTTTGTGAAGACCTCAGAAGACCCTGACTTATCAATCACCATCTGATCACCTTTGTCATAATTCCTGCCGCAACCAAGCGGATGTTACGACAGTTTTTTTCCCCAGCATTTCCCAAATAAAAAGTTGGAATAGTAACTTATCAAATAAATACTTTATGAAGCTCCCACTATGTGCTGGGCATTATTTTATGACACTGAATATTCTTTTCCAAAAAAAATACAATTCTCAAGAAGAAAAAAAAAAAAGAAAAGAAACAAAAATAAATAAATAAAATGCCATTCTCCTCCCTCCCACTGATAAGCCCCTAGGCCACGGCCCACTAGTTAAATCCCAGTGCTGGAATTCCAGAACAGCAGGGAATGAATGAATTGCATCAGCCTACTGTGTGCTGGGGCAGTGTGCGGGCACTGAGAAGAAGGGGTCCAGAAGTCAGATGCCTGAGGCTGGCTGTGGAACTATCCATTCAAAGGCTGTCTCCGGAAGCAGAAAGGGGCTGGCTAGCCAGAGAATTGGGAAAGGGAAGTAATTTGCTCTGCCATTATTGAGCACCCTCTATATACCAGGCCTGAAGAGTTTGATGAGTGCATTCTACAAGGTCTAAGGGAAGTTGTTCACTCGCTTGTGAACGAAGGTAAAGCAAATGTGGCCAACGAGATGGAGCTCTGTGCTCCCCAGGCACAGAAAGCCACTTCCCTCCAGCCCCCGGGGGAGGTGAAGGAGCCCAGTCTCCAGTCTTATGAGCTGTAACTTCCTTCTCTGTGCCTCAGTTTCCTCATCTGTAAGGTGGGGATTATGGCACCTCCCTCCTAAGGTTATTGATGGGATTACCGTGTTAACACCAGCGAAGGAAGCCCCGCACACTGACTTCCACACAGCAAGTGCTCAGTGAAAACCACTTTAACGCTAAGTGGACTAGACATAAGCCTGAACAAAGGGGAAGGAGGCTGTGGAGGGCATGATGTGGTGGAGGTTTGTGTGCAAGCAGGAGGCACAGACCCCCCATCCCTCACTGATCCCCCAGCCCAGACGCCTTTATGGTGCTCCCGGCGAGTGTGAAATCAGCACCAGGCCGGCAGGGACAAAGGCCGCCAAGGGGGACACTGTACATGTGATACTCCCCGGATTAAAGGGGCCTGACACGCTGTGGGCCGGCAGCTGCAGCCCAGAACAGGTGCTGGGCACCGATGCCCTATGCACCTGCTCTTCCCCGCCGGCCCCACCCACCAGAGCCACCATTAAGGACACAATGGGTGTCAATGAGAACGGCCATGGTGAATTTCAACAGCTTTCTGTGTCTGAGCCATGCCTTTACATGAGATAATGTCTCATGAGAGGAGAGGAGGGCCGCGGTGGCTCCCCTGACATCAGATAGAGCCCCATCAGCTGGCAGGCACCCAGGACAGAGGCCAGGGAGTCAGACTTGTACATGTTAAAATCAGGACCATTTGTGCACAGAGGAAGAGAAATGGGCAGCCACAGTCTGCAGGCTGGAGAGAATGCCAGGGGCCCTTTCTGTGCTAATGACACCAGTAATGCCTGCAAACGTATTACTCACAAGCTACCCCACTGACCCTCACGGCTCAGAGGTCAGCCCCTGCCTGGGCCAGGAAATGCCAGAACCGAGTCTCCAACCAGACAGTTTGACCCCGAAGCTGATACTATGACCCTTGAACCTTCTCTCAACAGTCACTCCCCAAAGAGCAGCCCCAAACTCGGTAGCCTCCGTCATTCAAAAAGTGGCTACCTTTTGCCCATTTCAAGAAAGTTAAAGGACAGAAAAGGCTCCATTTCACAATTTTCTCCACATCATGTTTTTGAAATGTTAAGACATAATCGTGTCTTCTGCCAGCAAAGGTATTTCGGGGTCTGCATAACAGGATTAAGTTTATCTCCTCCCAGGTGTGGGTGGGGAGAGCCACCCGGATAACTTTTTACTATAAAGTGATTAAAGAGCCACTTTATAAAACATCCTTGTAACCCACCCTACATGATTATTCAATCATACTCTTGAGGTTCAGAGAGGTTAAAGCACCTGCTTAAGGCCACACAGCATGGAAGCAAAACAAATACCAACCACCCATTTTTGTGCATGGTGATCGTGTACCAAACACTTTTCAGGTGCTTTCTGTATTCTTTCTTTCCTTTAACCCACACAGAATCCTGTCTTCCCCTTCTCCCCCCATCCCAGGTATCTTATGCTCAATTAACTGAGGCTCAGAGTGACACATCAGCAGCCCAAAATTTGAGAAAGTTCTCCACGTGGCATTCAGAGCCAGGTTGGGGGGGGGGGGGCCTCTAACGACATCCTGTCCAGCTGGGGGGGGGGGGCTGGGAGAGGGTGGAGAGGGAGGGCCCCTTCACACCTGGTTCCAACAGCAAGGTGTTGGTTGCACCTTCCCCGCATCCAGCTCTTACCCATTTGGCTGAGAAACTGAGGTTGCAGAGGTACTTGTCAAGTTAGCCCCTCGACCCGTCTGCTTAGCCGGTGAATGAATACATTTTCCTGCCAAACGTTTCAGAGAGCCAGGCCCTTGAGCTAGAAGCCATAGGACTCAGTGTCTACAATCTGAAACGGCCAGTAAGCCCAGAGCTGGGAAAGAAGAAGGCCGAGGGAGAAGGGAGAAGGGCAGCCAGCGGGCAGGGAGGGGCACTCACCGGTGTGGGTCCGGACGTGGCCCTGGAGCAGCCAGGGCCTGGAGAAGGCCTTCCCGCAGGTGCCACAGACGCAGGGCAGGGTGTGGCTTCGGATGTGCATCTTGAGGGCGCCCAGGCTGACGTATTCCTTGTTGCAGTATTTGCAGTTGAAGGCCTTGCGGGACTGGGGGTCCTTGGCCCCTGCGAGCCCAGACAGCTGCTTGGGCAGCGGGCCCAAGCCTGGGAAGGCGGCATAGCCTTCGGCCTCCAGGGAAGAGGCTGAGGTGGAAGAGAAGGAGGAAGGAGCTGGCGAGGGCGGGCTGGGGGGCTGGGAGCCTTTCCCGCTGTCCTCATCCGACAGGGAGGTCAGCTCCACCGCCTTGGGGACCTCCCGGGGCAGGAGGGAGGGCCAGCCAATTGGCTGGGCTTGTGGTGCCAGGAGAGAGTCCCAGATGAGCGTGGGCAGGGAGGCCGTGGGGTTGAGGACCTCGGGAGGCGGGATGGCCGCCAGCAGGTGGGCCTGGTCGTAGGGCTGCTGGAAGGTGAACTCTGAGAAGAGAAGGAGAAAAAGATCAGTCGGTCAGTCGGTCAACAAACACTCGCCTGGGGTAGAATGGGGCTGACACTTAATACGTTAGGTTCCTGCCTCAAAAGGCCAACCCTCAACCCAAGTCCTGGTTCTCCCACCTAAGCCTCCACATCTTAAAAAAGGATCCCCCCCTTTCCCAACCCCAACTCAGGGCGGTAATTCCCTCTGGAATTCCCCGAGTCCCCAGCCTAAGTGAGGCAAGACCCCAGCACCCCAATCACCCCGGCTGAGGCACCACCCATGCCCCACTCCCTCTCCCCGTGCACATCTTTTCTCCCCGCACCCCCGCCTCCCCTTTATCCCCCAAACCCTGTGGATCCCGGGCTCTTCCCAGCCCCTGGCCAGGCTCTCTCCCTAAGAGGGACCCCCCACTCTCCCTTCTCCCTCGCGGGCTCCCTCTGCTCCTCAGCAGCTGGGACCCGCCATCCCTCCCACCCAGCCCGCCGCCCTCTGGAAGCCCTCCTCCCCCAACCGCCGGATCCACCTGCCGCGGCTCCGCGCCCCTCTCCCCGCCTCGCCCCGCGCTGCCTCCTCCGCCTCGCCCATGGCTCCCGGTCCTCTGCCCCGCGTCCGCTCCCCTGAAACAGCCCCAACCCCTCCCCAGCGGGGTCCCCGCTCCCGCTCACCTGGAGAGGAGTCGTGCAGCTCGCTGTAGTTGGGCCTCCGGCGGGGGCAGGCGGACTTCCTGACGAGGAAGGAGCGCGGCATGGTGGCCGGGGCTGGCCGGGGTCGCCGGGCTGTGCTGGCGTCGCAAGGACCCGCTCCCGCGAGGCCGAGCCGCTGCGCTGTGCGCGGAGCGGAGCCGCCAACTCCTTTAAGTACCCCGGCCCGAGGGGCGGGGCCAGCGCAGTCCCCGCCCCCTTTGTCACCTCGGCGCCAATCGGGGAGCGCCTTGCTCCAGAGGCCACGCCCCAAGCAGGTGCGCGAGGGCTGGTGGGGCTCGCGCCGCGTGGCGCTGGAAGCGGGGCGGGGGCCGGTCCAACGTCGCGCGGTCGGAGCCGTACGGACCGCGCGGCGGCCGGCGAGCTGCCGGGGGGCGGGGGGCGGGGCGCGGGGCGCAGGGATTCCCCCCGGGATGGCGGGCCCCCTTTCCCGACCCCGCGCCCTGGCCAGCTCCGCGCTGCACGGCCGGCCGCCTCTGGCGCCCCCTGGCGGCCCGCGCGGAGGACCCGGGCACCTGATGTTCTGCGGCCGCCTCGGCCGCCAGATGGGGAGAGGGCGGAAATTTCCTCCGCCGGCTGGCACTTCGCGAAGAGCACGGGGCAGACGAGGAACAATACACATTTCGGGGGAGGAGGCGAGGAAACGGACATCCTCACGTAGCTTTTTTTTTTTTTTTTTTTGCAAAGCTATCTGGCATCATGTAGCAAAAAATGCATTCGTTCCTTCGCTGAGTAAGTGTGGATGGAGCGCCCACGGTTGGGCCCGGCCCTGGCCCACGAGCTGGGGAGTGAGCCCTGAACAAAACGCTCGCACTCTCTCTAACGAAGACTAGCTAGCTCCCCGTCCCGTGGGGGAGACAGACGGAGTACACAGGCTATCACCATGCAGAGAAAAGTGTGCTTTGGTGGGGGTAGGAGGTTGACCACAGGGCGCTGTGACGGTCCAGAAGAGGCAGGTTGGTTACCTGATAAGGGGGATCCAGGGCAGTTTCCCAGAAGAAATGCAGAAATACTGAGGGGAAAGGCCCGAGGTAAGAATCAGTAACTACCACAGAGCCACTGAGAGCAGCTCCAAGGGGTGGGGGTGGGGGTGGGGTGGGTAGGCCGGGAGGGGTCAGATCTGCTGGGCCTCCAGGGTCTGGAGGAGTTTGAACTTTGCCCCGAGGCCACTGGGGAGCCAAGGAAGGATTTTCAGCTGCAGAAGATCCTGTTTAGGTTTCACTGAACAAGATCACGCTGGGCAGGTGGGAGAAAGCCGCAGGGAGATGTGGTGCCCGGGCAGGTCTCCTCATCTGTCTGGAGGTCATGGTTCCTGTGTGTCTAAAGGGCCTAACACTGGGCTCCACGGGAGGAACGGACTGATCCGGTGTGGGTGGGGCTGTGCCAGGCCTGGGCAGGGGCTGGGGCCTAACTTGGTTCCACCTGTGAATCAAGGACTGTGAAAACCTGTAAGTCCCTCCACTCACCACCTAGAATGAAGGCTGGGCCATAGGTACTAGGGCTAACACCTATGAGCAAAAACAGGGTCCTTCTCACCCTGTTCTCGTGGGTGAGTCCGGGGTAGAATTCAGGAGACAGCCTTTGAATGGATAGGTTCCACAGCCAGCCTCAAAAGATTATAATCTTTTAAGAAGATTAATTAATCTTCTTCATCGTCACTATGAAGAGCACACTCTCTCCTATGCCATGATTCTTCCCCCACGTGCAGCCAGAGGGAGTAAGGCCAGGTCTGTCCCTCTGCTCCCCCTCCCATGTTCCTGGCTCACCAGAGTAAAAGCCAAAGTCCTCCCGCAGCCCTCCGCCCGGATCTCACCTCCGCTGACCTTGTCTGCAGCCACTGCGGCCCTCCCCGCGCACAGCGATCCCCCGCCCACTTCCTCTCTGTCCCTCACACCTCAGCCCCAGCCTGGCACAGGGCCTCGGCACCTGCTCTTCGTGCTCCCCGCCCCCTAAGTCTCTCTTCCCTCAGATCCTCACCTGGCTGGCTCCTTCGCAGTCTCTGTTTCAGTATTAATTTCGCCAACTGCTCAGCCTCCTCAGTAATGAAAGGAATGCAAATTAAAGCCACACTGAGATGCGACTTCACACCCATCAGCAGGACCAAAAGTTAAAATTTGGTCCATATCAAGTGCTGATGAGGATGTGAGGACGGTAGGACCTTGTCCCATGCTGGGGGAGATAGCTGGGTGTAGCCACTTTGGAAAACTTTGGCATTAGCTGGTAACAGGTGACTTTATTCCTCCCAGCAATTCTCCCAAGTCCACTGCATCCCGGGGTTCTCAGCCCAGACTGCCCAGGCCTGCACCCCACCCCCACAGTCATATTGTTTAATCAGTATGATAGGGAGGGGGCCTCTGGTATTCGAATATTTATTTATTTTAAAATCCTCACTCGAGGGTATTTTCCCATTGATTTTTAGATCCTGACCTGGGCCGGGGATCCAGCCTGCACCTGAGGTATGTGCCCTAGAGGAATCCAACCAGAGACCATTGCGTCTGAGGACCAATGCTCTAACCACTGAGAAAAACTGGCAGGGGGCTGTATTAGCATCTTAAAGAACTCCCCAGGGGCCCTGGCCAGGGTGGCTCAGTGGTGGAGCTGTAAATTGGTACAGCCACTATAGAAAACAGTAGCGAGGTTCCTCAAAATATTTTAAAAAGCTATCATGTGACTCAGCAATTCCACTTTTAGGTATTTCCCTGAAAAAAATCAAAAACACTGATTTGAAAAGATATATGCGCCTCTCTCTGTTCATCAAAGCGTTACTTACAAGAGCCAACATATGGATAGGCTTCCATTAATAGATAAATGGATAAAGAAGTGGTGCATATGTACAATGGCCTTTAAAATATGTACTTGGCCTTTAAAAAAAATGAAATCTTGCTATTTGTGACAACATGGGTGGACCTAGAGGGTATTATGCTAAGTGAAGTAAATCAGATAAAGAAAGACAAATACCTTATGATTTCACTTATATGTGGAATCTAAAAAGCAAAATAAAAGAACAAAACAGAAACTCGGACTAGTATATTGGAAGCACAAACTGATGGTTGCAGGTGGAAGGGGAAGAAGTGATGGGCAAAAAAAGTGAAAGGGATTAAGAAGTAAAAATTGGCCGAGACCGGTTTGGCTCAATGGATAGAGCGTCTGCGTGGGGACTGGAAGGTCCCATGTTCGATTCCGGTCAAGGGCATGTACCTTGGTTGCAGGCACATCCCCAGTAGGGGGTGTGTAAGAGGCAGCTGATCGATGTTTCTCTCTCATCGACGTTTCTAGCTCTCTATCCCTCTCTCTTCCTCTCTATGAAAAATCAATAAAATATATTAAAAAAATACTTTTATTGATTTCAGAGAAGGAACAGGGAGAGAGAGAAACATCAATGATGAGAGAGAATTATTGACCGGCTGCCTCCTGCATGTCCCCCACGGGAATCCAACTGTGACTTTCAGGTTCATAGGTCAAGGCTCAACCACTGAGCCACCTGGCCCGGCCATGTTCTGTTTCTTAAGTGCAGAAAGATCGTTATTAGTCTTTAAACAGAACATGGGCAATGTAAACACATTTGGCATACAAGATATATTTAACAAAAAGCAATTTAAGTCACCTCCTTAAGGGTGCCTGCCTTGATCACCAATCCTAGCCAAAGTAGGATCTCCCCCCCCCCCCCCCCGCGCGCCCCAGCACCCCAACACCACTTTCTATCCCATTGCCCTCCTCAGTTTTCTCCAAAGCACTTAGTAGGGACTCAATCTGCTACTTGATGGATGGCTGAGCACCGGCTCCACCTCTTCCTGGGCCACCCTCGGCCTCTCCCAGAGCCTCGGCGTCCTCTCGGTGGAGGGTGGGGACTGGTACCCCCGGAGTGGCCAGTGGCCGGGATGGGTGAAGGCAGCCCGGGCCCCGCCTCCCCGTTCCCGCAGGCACCTGCGCCTGGGGAGGCGCCTTCTCCGATCTGGCCGTCCCTACCCTCGGGATCCCAGTGCCCGCCCCCTCCCTCCCTCCCTTTCTCCCTCCCACGGGTGGGCCCTAGAGGCTAGAGGTGGAAGGGGGCTGTGGGCGAGGCCGGGGACCACAGGGAGAGGAGAGACCACGCCTCGGTGTCAGATCCTCCCGGAAATGGGCGGCCTCCGCCCCCGGGGCTGTGGGGGCCCTGCCAGCCCCCTCCCCTCCCCGCCCTCCCCGCCCCTGGCCCGGGGCGCTGTCCTCCGGCGCCCTCTGCTGGCCGCGGCGCTCCCTGCGACCGTCTCTGGGCTATGGCACGGGGCGGGCACAGGTTGGGGATTCCTAATGTGGCCAGGAAAGCCTCTGAGAGGAAAGTGTAATTGATACAGCCCTGCATCTTCCACAGGTGTCCATCCCCCAAAGGAAAACAGTAACTGGAGGCTCAGTTGGAACATGGGCTAGTACACCAAACGCTGCTGGCTCCATCCGGTCAGGGTGCTCACAGCAACCCATCGATGTCTCTCTCTCTCTCTCTCTCTCCAATCAAAACATGGTATCAGGTGAGGATTTTTTTTAAAGTAAAAATAACTGAAAAATGTGATTTGCTACTAACCAACCAGAAAAGAAAATCTACCTCCATCCCCAGATCTCCATGTTCCTCCCCAAAGGCAACTATATTTACCGTGCCTGGTACGGTCTTTCAGAGACAAGGAGATAGATAGTATATGGGTATTAGGATGCACATCCACCCCTTCTTTATGTAACACAAGGGGCCCCACACACTAACCTACACCTTGCTGCTTCCTCCCAAGTACCAGGATCCAATGTCTTGAAAATTGTGCCGTCTCATTCCACACAGCTCTCTCTTGCAGGACTGCAGACTTGCATTGTATGGGTTATACTGTAATCACACAACTTATCTAACAAGGGGATTGGTGGTGGGCACTTAGATCGAAACTGTTTGCCCCTACAAACAAGGTGGCAGATTCAATGAAATACCTTGTACACGCACCTTCTACTCCTGATCAAAGGTCTGTTACCTAAAACGTTGATAGATTTGCCCAAATGTCTTCTCGAAAGGTTAAAGCAAATCACACTTTCACC